CCAGTCCCAGACCAGAATGCCCTGGGCTCTCCGTCCGCACGTCCCCAGCAATGGGCCTTCCACCCCTTCCCTAGCGAGGCTGCCCCCAGCCTGGTGTGGACTCTCTTGCGTTCCTCCTTTGCTTCTGGTCACGCCCCAGGTGGGAGCGCCACCTCCTCCAGTGCCGCTCCCCATGGCTCCCCTCCCCTTCTCGGCGCAGGTCCCGGTGGCTAGCGAGTCGCAGGGGGTGGTCCAGCAGCCGTTCCAGCAGCCGGTGCTGGTGTCCGCCAGCCAGTCGGTTCAGGGAGGGCTGCAGTCCGGCGGGATGCCCGTCTATTACAGCGTCATCCCCACGGCTCAGCAGAACGGCACCAGGTAAGGGCAGCGGCGTCTCCGGCCCGCCTCTGCTCGGAGAGCGAGGGGCCACGGTGCCTGCGGGGGCAGCTCAGCACACTCTGCACGCGGGGGGGCAGTGGGGAGTGACCGAGGCGCACTTAGGGGGCTGCGTTTGGCCTCTCGGCAGCGGTCCTGTGAGACAGGAGCCAGCCCAGGGAGGGCTGCCCCGAGTCCCCGTGCGTCTGCAGTGCGGGGAGGTGGCCTCAGCACAAACGGGTGCAGTCGCCCAGCCCGTGTTGGGGAGAAGCTGCCTCTCAAAGGCGGGGTCTGGGGAAATGCATCTCTGACGCCTCACCGCAGCTCTCTCCTCCCCTCCGGCAGCCCCTCGGTCGGGTACCTGCAGCCTCCCGGCTCCGAGCAGTATCAGATGCCCCAGTCTCCCTCACCCTGCAGCCCGCCACAGATGCAGCAGCAGTATTCGGGTAAGGAGAGACCGCCCGTTCCCGGGCTCACCCTCCCCCTGCTGGGCGCTGGGAAGTACCTTGGCATCGTAGCCCAGGAGGGGCTGGCTCTCTGGGGGGGTTGGTAAGGCACAGCTGAGTCCCCCTCCCCCCCCCGACCCAGGCCAACGGAAGCGGTTGGTGGCTTCTGTGAACTGAGTCGGGTGGGTCTCAGCCCAGTTCCACACCCCCCGCGGTCATCAGCAGACATGCCAAGGCCGGGCTGGGGCCAGGCAGAGCCTGGTGTGGGGCAGCCAGCGGAGACGCTGGGCAGCCAGGCTGCCCCACACCAGGGCTGTGTAGGGAAATCGAGGGAGAGACGGAGGCGGCTCAGTGTTCGGACGCTCTGGGATGGACAGAGCATTTGCCTGGAGAACGAGGCCCCTGGGGGGGTCTGCTCCGCTTGCACAGCCCAGCTCTGCACCTCCCCCGCGGTGGCTGGGAGTGGTGCCCGGGGGCCATGCTGCGCTGTCCGAGGCCAGTGGCCCCCGCCCATGGGCTAGCCAGGCCTTTCAGCCAGGGCCAACCGGGCTCTTCCCGGCCTTGCGTTGGCTGGTCCTCGCGTACCATCTGCTGGGAGCATCGGGTATTGCAGCAGGCTCTGGGCCTCGAAAGCCTTGAGTTGTCTGGAATCAAGCTTTTAAAATTGTGGTGACAGCCAGGGGGCTGGGAGCCAGGACTCCTGGGTTCTATCCCCAGCTCTGGGGG